TGTTCCTCTCTGCCCCTCAATGTTCCCTGGGATACGCCAGCATGGCCGATCTTGGGAGGCTGTCGCCGACCTCCAACAGGCGGCTAGATCAACCAATACTTCTACACACGCCGGCCGCCTCAGTCCAGGATCAAACAGTCCTCCTGCCTGCCGGCCTCCGGCGGGGCCTCCTTCGGCAAGGAGGCCCCCACGCCCAGGAGCCCCGTGGGTGGGGCGGAGGGCGGGGGACTCGTCGGCGCCCCCGGTGCCAGCGGCGCCGCAGGGGGCCCCGCGGCGGGCGCATGCGCCGGCGGCGCCGGGGGGCCCGGGGGCGCCGCTGGGGGCGCCGTGAGCGGGGGCAGCGGGGGAGGCATCCCGGCGGCCGCCAGCTGCATGCCCGGGTCCGCGCAAGGGCGGGCCAGGCCCAGGCCCGGCCAGTGGCTGGCGCCGAGGGAGGACAGCGGCGGGGCCTCGGGATGGACGCCCATCCACGGCGTCCATGCCTGCGCCGCGTCCGGCACCTGGGCAGGCGGCTGCGGCGGCGGCGGGAGGCCCGTCGACAGCGGCGGCGACACCGGCACGGGCGCTGCGCCACAGGGCGGGGCCTGCGGCGCGGCAGCGGTGCCGAGGGGCGACGACCAGCCGGGATCCGACGGCGCGGACTCGCAGTTGCACATGCTGACGCACCGGACGCAGGCTGTGTAAGCGCGGCCAGGGCCACCGCCAGGCCTGAGGCCCCCTATGCGAAGCTCCACGAGCGAGCCCAAGGTCGCCATAGGCGCGGACCGGATGAACCTCTCTGCCGAGGCCGACCCCGCCTCGCGCAGCTCCACCACGTAGGAAATCGCGTGCGCGACGGAGGGCCACTGCACAGTGATCGCGAACCCGGACGGGTCCGCCTGCAGCTCCGGGGCCGAAGGCGGGGGGATGACGGTGCCGTGGATGCACCGCCACCCCGGCGAGGGACTGAAGGGCGGCGGCACGGTCGACCCGAAGCTGCCGTCCGCCAGCGACTGCGGGGGCGGCATCATGGGCGGGGGCGCCATGGCCCCCGCCATCGCCGCCTGGAAGTCCGGCGGCGCCATGTCCGTGCCCCAGCTGGGCCACATGGGGGCGCCGCCCGGCATGCTGGGCGGCGGCCAGCACGGCGGCGCGCCAATCTGGTAGGACAGTGCGGGCGGCGCGGCCGGGTCCGCCACCCCTGGCGTGGCGAGCGGCGGTGGCGCGCCCGCTGGTGGCCCTGGGGTCGCCCCTGCTGCCAGCGGCGCGCACTGTTCAGAGGGGTCCGAGGCCTCGGAGCGGGACCCCACCGAGGTGAAATATGTGACGCGGGCCTCGTACAGAGTGCTCTCGCTGAGGCCCGTCACCTTGCACGAGGAGCACTCGGCGTCGAAGCGGCTCGAGCCTGAGCCGATGCGGCCCGCCGCCACGTCCACCGTGGCCCATGGCTGGACGCCGTCCGCCGCCCGCAGCTCCACCGAGTAGCCCACCGCCAGGACCAGCGGCGACCACACGACCAGCAGCGAGCCTGGCTCCTCTCCGGCGCCCAGCAGCGGCGCTGGCAACGCCGGCAACTGCGCCGACGTCAGCGCGTCGTCATCGTCCGTGTACGACAGTAGCGTCGCGATGCGGGTCTCCTTGTCGTCCGCGAATGCGTGCGCCGTGCGGGCCAGCAGGCGCGCCACGTCGAGGATGCTGGGGAAGGACACGGACGCGAAACTGCACCCCTTCGCGTGTGCCACGATGATGCTGGTCGCGCCCTGCTTGGTGAAGAACCTCGACAGCTCCGACTCCTGCGTGTCCGGGGGCAGCCCGGCCAGGATGATCTTCTCGCCGAACGCGTGGCAATCGAGCCTCAGGTCCTCCCGCGCAGCCTGCCCCTCTGGGCCTGGCGGGCGCGGCAGCTCCAGGCGGAAGTAGCCCAGGACAGAGCCGCTGGACCGGCCCGTCGCCATGAGGGACACGACCGCGGCGGCTCGGTCGCCGGCCGGGGCAGGCTTCCCCTCGAGCAGCCCCTTCACGCAGAACGTGACCTGGTCGCCGGCCACCAGCCGCACCTGCCCGCACCCGTCCTGTCGCACGTCCACCTCCGACTCGCCGATGTAGCTCGGCAGGCCCTGGCTGGCGATGCGGCCGGCGCTGCCGTCCTCGCCCACAGGCGTCCTCACCACCCCCTCGAACTTCTGCAGCTTCTGCACGCTGTGCGCCTGCGGGAAGCCCTCGACGCTGAGACGCACCTGGAAGTGCACCAGGTCCTCCTCCGCCAGCCGAGGCGGCGGCGGCGGCTTCTCGCCCGGGGGCTGGCTGCCGCCCCCATTCTCGCCCGAGGCCCCGGCTGCCGCGGCCTCCTCCTTCTTCTCTGCCTTCTCCTGCGCGGCCGCAAGGATCTGGGCGATCGCCGCCTCGTCCCCAGCGGCCTCGGCGGCCGCCAGCTGCGCCTCTGTCTTCGCTATGTACACGTCCCGTCCGAACCTCTTCGCCGTCTCCTGACAGGCGATGAAGCCGAAGCCGCGACGGTCGTTGTACGACTTGATGTGCCCAGTGTACACCTCGTCCGATCCGAGGTCCAAGGGGGAGGCCATCGTGCAGGCCTGCGCGGAGGGCGGCGAGGAAGGGGAGAAGGAGGAGGAGGAGGAGGAGGAGGAGGAGCAGGCGGGAAGAGGAGGCGGAGGAGGAGGAGGAGGAGGGAGGAGGAGGAGGAGGAGGAGGAGGAGGAGGAGGGGGGGCGAGGAGGAGGAGAGGAGGAGAGGAGGAGGAGGAGGAGGAGGAGGAGGGGCAGAGGAGGAGGATGAGGGGTGAGGAGGAGGAGGAGGAGGAGGAGGAGGAGGAGGAGGAGGTGGGAGGAGGAGGAGGAGGAGGAGGAAGAGGAGAAAAAGGAGGAGGAGGAGGAGGGAGGAGGGGAGGGCTAATGAAGGAGGGGAGGAGGAGGAGGAGGAAGACGAAAGAGATTGAGGAAAAGGAGGAGGAGGAGGAGGAGGAGGGAGGAGGAGGAGGAGGAGGAGGGGGAAGAGGAGAGGAGGTAGGAGAGGAGGAAGGAGAGGAGGAGGAGGAGGAGGAGGAGGAGGAGGGAGTGGAGGAAACGGAGGGCGGGAGGAGGAGGATGGGGAGGAGGAGGAGGACCGAACGGCGGGCGAGGAAGATGAGGACGAGGACGACGAAGAACAAGCGTTACTCGCCCTCCTCTTCCTCTTCCTCTTCTCCTCCTCCTCCTCCTCCTCCTTCCCCTTCTCCTCCTCCTCCTCCTCCTCTTCCTCCTTCCCCCGAGGGGCAACGTAAGGGGAACCAGATCGGGGGAAAAACATCGAGCTGTAATCGCAGATATGCCCTCGGTAGCGAAATCACACGTTCCTCGGCGGGGTGGGCTATCAGGCTCCTATCAAGCGATGAATGGGCGATTCGGATTCGATGCATTCCCCCTGAGTCTGACCCCCCGTGATGCTGTCCCTGATTTGCTCCTCCTCCTCCCCTCCCTCCTCCACCTCCTCTGGCTTCTTGTAATGAAGAGGAATGCTTATGGGGGCGCATGAGGAAGGAACCTGGAACGGGAGGGTGTAGTAGTGCAACATTGCTGATGCATGTTCGGTGTCCTCTGGTCCTCCTCCTCCTCCTCCTCCTCCTCCTCCTCCTCCTCCTCCTCCTCCTCCTCCCTTCCGAGCACCGGTACACGGCCTACGCGGCCGCCCTGCCCCCCAGGCTCAAGGCTGTGGTTCCGCCAGCGCCCTGCGGCAGAGCATCCGGCTGCCCCTGGCGCCGGCGCCGTCGAGCACCGCGCGGATGCCTTGGGCCGAGGTGACTCCTGAGAGGAGATGGGGGGAGATGGGAGGAGGGAGAGGAGAAGGAGGAGGCGGAGGATGAGGAAGGAGGAGTGCGGAGTCGGAGGAGGAGGGAAGAGGAGGAGGAGGAGGGGAGGAGGAGGAGGAGGTGAAGAGTGTAGGAGGAGGTGGATTGGGGAGGAGGAGGGAGGAGGGAGGACAGGGAGGAGGGGAGGAGGAGGAGGAGAAGGAGGGGAGGGAAGGAGGGAGGGAGGCAAAAGGAAGGGAGGAGGAGGAAGAGGAGGGAGGAGGAGGAGGAGGAGGAGGAAAGAGGGAGGAGGAGGAGGAAGAGGAGGCGGAGGAGGATGGGGAGGAGGAGGAGGAGGAGGAGGAGGAAGAGGAGGAGGAGGAGGAGGATATGGGAGGAGAAGGAGGAGGAGCAGGAGGAGGAGGTTTAGGAAGAAAAGGACCAATGCACGCCCAGGACTCACCAACGATGTCGCAACAAACCCTTCCTCCAAACTCCCTCTTCGTAGGCCCTAGACTCCTCTACAAATCTACCTCCACTGCGGGAAGAGCCCCGTTGGAAGACTACCGTGTGAAAACCCGCAACGCTCTACAGCACCATTCCTGGGACTTCAACGCCGCGAATCACCGTTGCTGTTGCGACCTGACGATCCTAAGTCGTGCCAGAACATCATTTCTGGGACGGCAGCACCGCGGATCAACGTGCTTGTGGCGAACTGACGACCATGTCGAATCACAGATTCTGGAACGTCAACCATAATAATCCTCGAAGTCTTATAAGATGTTAAGACAAATGCGCGCGGCCTTAAAGCGAGAACCACATTTTGAAAGCGGCCCGCCGTCCATCCGTGAAGATCTTGCACATGCTTGAAACGAATGCGCGCGGCGTGGAAGCGGGAACCACACTTTGAAAACGGCCCGCCCTCCATCCGTGAAGCTTCCGCAAACTTGTAAGACGAATGTGCGCGGCGCTGAGGCGAGAGCCACATTTTGCAAATCACCCGCCCTCCATCAGCGAAGCTCTTACAAGCTGTTAACACGAATGCGCGCGACGCTAAGGCGAGACCAACCACATTTTGAAAACAACCCGCCCTCCATCCGTGAAGCTGTTGCAAACTTCAAACTTCAGGATCAAAAACGATGAGGATATCTCAAGCGAAACGCCCGGCCTGCCATACCGACCTGCCTCGGGGCGCGACAGGGGGAGTTATTACAAGGAAGGAAGGGATGGAGGAGGATCAGCAGCAGGAAACGTCTCTCCTTCTCGCTCCCTCTCTCTGTCTCTGTCTCTGCCTCTGCCTCTGCCTCTGTCTCTGTCTCTGTGTCTGTCTGTCTGTCTGTCTCTCTCTTTTTCATCAGCACTTGCCCGTCGCATTATCCATATGGTACCCATATATGCTCTCACTCTCTCTGTATACAGATGCTGAGAGAGGTGTGTGTGTGTGTGTGTGAGAGTGGATGTGATGCACGCGGGTGCTCTGTCTTGGTTTCGCTCTCTCTCTCTCTCTCCCTCCCTCCACATACAGTTGTATAGACGTGTGTATGTGTATAGGTTTCTCTCCCTCTTATTGTGCATGTACATGTATCAGTGTTTATGCCACTTCCTCTTTTGCTTAAGCCGTGTTTATACAGGCGTGTGGTCATGTATACATAGTTGGAAACATTAATATATGCACACACACACTTATGTAGATATGCGTGTGTGCGCGTGTGTATAGGTGTGTGTGCGTGTGTGTGTGGCTGCGTGTGTGTGTGTGTGTATGTGTGTGTGTGTTGCGGCTTGGGGTTCTCTCTCTCTCTCTCTGTCTCTCCCTCCTGTCTCTCAGGCTCTCCCTCCCTCTCCTCCTCCTCCTCCTCCTCTTCATCCTCCTCCTCCTCCTCCTCCTCCTCCTCCTCCCCCTCCTCCTCCAGGGCCCCAGAACAGACACAGACACCCACACCCACACCCACACACACACACACACACACACTCACACACAAGCATACACACATACACACGCACACACACAAAAAAGATCCCTCCCTCAATTCTCTACTAGTCCCAACCCCTCTGCATCGCATTCGGAGACGGCTGCTTTTTGGAGGCTGCCTCAGGATAACTACGTGCTCGAGCGAATTGCGGCTAGATGGCTAGATCCACCTGCCCCCTCGTTCTGGGGCCATCATGCTGGGAAGTTCCTGGCTGGACTGCCGTCTTGCCGGTGTCTACGAATTCTCTCTCTCTCTCGTCCCCTCTCGTCGATTGCCTCTTCCGTACCGTTCCTCTGCTCTCTCGGGGCGACCTAGGGCGCTAGAAAATGCCACCTCGGTGCGGTGGTCTCAGCCCCCCTGGCTGACCACCGTGGGTGGCCCCAGGCTTCTCAAGGGATGCCAGCAGACAACGGACGGCCGAGAGAGACAAGGGGCCTGCAGGACGGCTCCAAGAAGCTCCGAAGAAGGGCCTATGAAGCCAGGCCAAAAGACAGCACAAGACAGCTTAAAGACGGCTCATGACAGCCTAACCACAACGAGACGAACAGGATCCAAGAGGGCCCCAAGAAGTGGTCCCACGTCGGTTGCCTGTCGCCTGTGGCCGCCAGGACCCCCCAGAGGAACTCAAGAGGCCTCGTAGAAGCCAGCGGATTTCCCCAAGATTGCTGAAGACCCAGACCCCCGACGTCGTGATTCTTTCACAACGTCGACCCCCAGAAGTCTGGACCATTTCCCCGGGACTGGTTTCTCGTCCTGAGTCGTCTTTTGACGGCCCCGAGGCCCGGGAAGAGCCCCTGGAGGTCGAAAATAGAGGAAAACCTCCCGTCGTGATTTTGTTCACGACGCGAGGGGGTCTGGGCCTCCAGCTCATCCGCCACCTCTCCCTCCCCCAATGTGCGCAGCTCCCTGGGACCTGACTGCGCCGAACACGACGCCAAATCCTTACGTGGATGAGAGGAGGAGGCGGAGGAGGAGGAGGAGGAGGGGGAGGAGGAGGAGGAAGAGGAGGAGGAGGAGGCGGACGAGAAGGGGGAGAAGGAGGAGGAGCAGGAGGAGGAGGAGGAGGAGGATGAGGAGGCGGAGAAGGAGGAGG